CTTTAGTGAGGAGGGGGAAGAGGAGGAGAACGAGGAGGAGGAGTAGGAAGAGGAGGAGGGGGGGGGAAAGAGCAGGAGGAGGAGGAAGAAAAGCAGGATGAGGATGAAGAGGAGGAAAAGGAAGGATGTTGTTCTGGCCTAGGTCCGACGGTATCCGAGACGGCCCACGAAGCTCCCAAGAGGGCGGAGGTTGGCCCCAGAAGGGTTCTATCAAAGGGCCTGGGCGTCTCAACGATGGCCAAGCTGACCCCAAGCGCGCCCAGGCCATTCCAGCGGGGGTGGGAGGGGGAGGGGGAGGAGGAGGAGGAGTCGGACGAGGAGTCGGAGGAGGAGGAGGAGGAGGAGGAGGAGGAGGAGGAGGCGGAGGAGGAGGAGGAGGAGGGAGAAAGTCGAAGGCGGAGAAGGTGGAGGAGGAGGAGGAGGAAAAGGAGGAGGAGGAGGGCGAAGAGGGTGAGGATGAGGAAGAACAGGAGGAGGGGAGGCGCACCCGCCCAGGATCTCCTCGTGGGACCCCTCTCGGATCCCGCTGCCAAAGACCCCCCCATCTTCTCCCGGAGCGGGGAAAGGATCAAGTGGAAGGGCTTCCCTTTGACTCGATCACGACCTGGGTCGATTGACCTCGGGCGGGCGAGCTTGGCGAGCCCCAGGTGACCACAGGGAAAGGGGCGAAAGCTTCGCTTCGATGGTCCCGCTGGCCATGGTTGTTGCGATATTCCTCTTGGCCGCCGCCTAGAAGTCCCAAGCCATCTGCGCATCGTCATCTTCAGCGTGCCAGTGCCAACGTTGATTATGAAGGGGGTAGAGAGACGATGAGTGCGGGGACAGGAAGCATTGCATGGAAAGGGAGGATCTGCGTAAGGGCAGTGCCGCGGTGGAGAATCTGGCCTAGAGGCGAGAGGATCTTGAGGGACAGTGGGCGGACAAAATATCGCAAGTTATATGATCGTTCCGAGAAACAAGATGACAATTTTGATCATATTCCATCGATGTCCGAGGAGCTCCCCTTCCCCCGCATTTCAATGTTGACTTGCATTATTTTGTCCGCCCGGACTTGGGGTGCTCGCTCGATGCCAACATTGAAATTTAGGGGGCGGGGGCGTTTTGTCGAGGTGGCGTCGCAATGTAGGCGCGGCCGTACGCGGCCAGGAGCAACTTGCAACATTTCGTCGTCCCACCGGAGCAGGCTGCGGGGAGGAGTGGCCGGATCCGAACAAAAGAGCCGCCCGGCCTGGAGGAAGGTGCTGCGAGGCAGGGGGGAGGGAGGAAAGTGAGAGAGAGAGAGAGAGAGAGATTTGGGCAGGCCAGGTGCGTGCGCCACAAATGACATCCTATCCCCCTTCCTCCTCGTCGATCTCGAGCCATTCGTCTCTTGCGTGCTCGTTCTCGGTCGATCGCTGCTGGTTCCGTTTTCGCTCGGTGGCTTCTTCAAAGGGAGCCTGTCTGAGCCTAAGTTCTTCCAGGCGCCGCCGCCACGCCAGCGGGGAGAGAGCGAACGAACGGTGGGAACGCCCTTGCGATTGCGCTGGTTGTTTTCCTATGCGCGGACGCCAGTCATGGCCGACCTGGAACTCCACAAGAGACTCCTCATCTTGTTATGCGCCGTCGGAAAATGAAAACTTGTGGGACCTGTGCCGCCCAGGGGACCTCTGTGGCCTGTGTGACCTGCGACACCTGTAGGACCGGTGGGATCTGTGGGACTTGTGGGGACTGCGGGACTGGTGGGACCTGCGAGACCTGTAGGATCCGTGGCACCGGCGGGACCTGCAGGACAAGACTTGGGGGACTTCTGCGGGACCTGCGAGACATGCGACACCATGAGGGTTTGCGGGACCAGTCGGACCTGCTGGACCTGTGGGGCATGCGAGACCTGCGACGCATGTGGGATTTGTACGTGGGACGTGTGGAACCTGTCAGACTGGTGGGACCCGTGGGGCGACCTGCGACACTGGTGGGTCTCGTGGAACCTATGGACCAATGACGGCTGCGAGGCCTGCAAGACCTGTGGGATCCAGAAACGTGGCACACGCCAGGGCGGGAACGCCATTTTGAACAACGGGGGCACAGTGCCGATCCGAAAATGTGGCCCACGGTGCCGAGATAACACCAGTTGTGAAAACTGTAAACAAACAAGGTGCAAAACCAGCGCGCGCATATCCAGTGTAAAGACAGAACGCGGAGGGATCGAATCGAGAAAATACAACGGAAAACCGATCTCGCGCACAACATGTGTAAACACCAATGCGCGGAACGGGGGGCGGCCATTTTCAGGAAATATTCGTGGGGGAAAGGAGAGTAGTATTCATACTGTCAAGGGGGAAGGAAGAGTGGGACCGAGGGGCGGGAGGCACCTGGACGTTCAGCGCCCCGGCAGGAAACGAGGAGGCGATCGCGGTCGCGACGGTCGCGACGGTCGCGACGGTCGCGACGGTCGCGACGGCGAAGCTGGTCGCGACGGTCACGACGGCGCAGGCGCTCGGAGTCCGCGCGGAGAGGTGGCAAGGCCCGCGGCTCCCTGACCGCCAGCGCTCGGGGGTTGCGTGCCGGCCGGACGCTAGGGGACTCCCATTTCACCTTGTTCTCCGTCCTGCCCGCCTCATATCCCTCCTCCTCCATTTCCATGTCCTTCTCCTCCTCTTTCTCGTCCTCCTTTTCCTTCTCTTCCTTCTCCTGGTCCTCCTCCTTCTCCTCCTCCTCCTCCGTAGCCATTTTGGCTCAAGGTCCAAAGTTCCCCAGAGGACCAAGTGGATACCGCTAGTCCGCGGCGGGCAAGATCCTTGTGATCTGGCAGTGTCTTGAAGCGAACCGCGCTCGCGCGGTCGGGTAAACGGAGGTGTTTCCCGTTCCTGGCCGCCCGAACGCTCAGCCCCTCCTCTCATGGGACTGCCGACCGAAGCGGACAAGCAACGTCTCGCAGATGAACTGGAGGCGGCCCCCACATTCCCCTCACAAGAGCGGGTGGCGAGCACTGGCAAGGGGGGCAAAGGCGGTGCGGGCAGTGCTGCTGGCTCTCGCTCTGCTGGCGGCCGCCCGCGCAGGGCTCCCCGACATTCACACAAGGATGAGTCATCGGAGGGCCGCTCCACGTCTCGCAGCGGGCGTGGGCAGTCGCGGACCGCTGGCACCGTGGACCTGGATGATGACCTGGAGAGCTGGCGGCGACAGCATGCGCGCGTCGCCAGCGCAGAAGGGGCTCCTCATGACGCCTGGGCGGCCGCGGCTGCTCGCGCGGGCTTGCCCCGTGTTGGCGGAGAAAGTGCTCTTCGCCAGCACCCAGCGCAGGCATCGTGCACCGGCCTCGCCAGCGACCTGGGCGCACCCCCGGCTCGGCCTGGAGCATCCGCGGCGGCCTCGAGTGCGGCTCGCGCTCACGGGGGTGCTCCATCATCGGTGGAGGCCAGCCTGCAAAGCATGGGGGCGCGCCTACAGGCCTCTCTGCAGGCGGCTGTGGCGTCTGCGAGCTCGAGCATGTCGAAGGCCTTCCAGACGGCGCTCGTCGAGATGGCCCAGCAGAACGACGGCCGCTTCCAGGCGATGGAGGACCGCATCGCCCCCATGGAGGAGAAGATGGTGCAGGTCGACCAAATGCAGAGAGAGATCCAGAAGCTCAAGGAGGAGTTGGTGGTGCTCAACGCGGGCGTCCCTGCGGAGCTTTCGGGCGGCAGCTGGGACAGGGCGACGGACACCGCGGTCGTCACGGTCTTCGCCAAGACCGCGCTCTCCAAGCCTGCTGTGGAGCAAGCTCTGGCCCCGCTGGTGGCAGAGGCACAGCTCAACGACCACGTGGTGCTGGAGGGCGACGCGGTCTCGCAGCGCTTCCTCCTCCGATGCAAGGGCGCGGCAGCTCTGGCGGCCCGTCGGGTCAACAAGTTGCTGCAGCTCATGCGCGTGGGGCAGGGCCAATGGCGGGAGATCCATGCGGCGGCTCCGACGGGCGCGCAGGTCCTCCTCAATCTGGGAAAGGATCGGAACCGTCGTCAAGTCAGTCACGAGCTGGCCCTCAAAAGGATCAAGCAAGGGATCGAGGGTCTGCTCCCGCACAAGCTCTTCATGGAGAAGGACGCGGCGGCGCTGTCGCTGCAATGGACGCAACTGCTGCGGGTGCAGATCGAGTCCCCCTCGGCATGCCCCCAGGTGCTATGGAACATGGCGTGCATCAGGAAGTTCAATCTCGACAAGGTCGCGCTGGCGGAGGCGGCGGAGCGTGTGCTGCAACCCGAGGCGCAGGAGTGGTGTCTTTAGCAGGATGGCTCGCTGCTGGGGCGCGGCGGACGGGGTGGCCCAGTTCGCGTCGTGGAACACCAGGGCTTTCGCCAGCTACCAGCCGAGGCTCATCAAGAAGAAGTTGCGCTACCTGCAGACGCACTGGCGGGGGCCAGTCGTACTTGGGATGCAGGAGACGCACGCGGGTGTGGAGACCATGCAGCAGCTGCTTGGTCGTACGGCCCGAGATGTTGTTTGCTTTGTTTCATCGCCAATCGGAGCTCTTTCTGATGCGGGTGGGGTAGCCACTGTCTTCCCTGCGCAGACGAGTGGCGACCGCATCACATACATCCCGCTCGACGCTGCCCCTGGCCGCGCCCTCAAGGTGTCGGCCCTCAAGTCAGGCGCTGAGCTCCGCCACTGGAACGTGCACAACCACGGCTTCACAGCGGACGTGCGCTCTCGTCTTCTTCAACATATTCAAGCTGACCTCGCCTGGGCACACGCCGACCCTGCTGCCCGCGCCGCGGTGGTGGTGGGCGACTTCAACTACGGCGACGTCATGGAGCAGGAGGTGTTCAGCGCTCAGCCCCCTGGGCAAGCACCGCCTGGGCCGAGGGCGCACGCTCAGCGTGCCTGGGAGGAGGCGACGCGCTTGGCGGTGGACCTTGCTCCTGCCCGAGCGACGCACTGGCATCGAGGTCTGCGTCGTGATTCCAGGATTGACAAAATCATGGTGAGCGTTCCCCGCTGGGCCCTCTGCCAGCTCTGGCAATCTGCTGCGGTGTGCGGAGAGCCAAGGGAGCTGCACATCAATGAGGTGAGCGACCACGCGATGGTCATCGCGTCGGTCGCGCCGAGGGCGCTGCGGCCCCGCTCTCTGGGCCCCGCCCCCATCCCGAGAAGGTTGGTCATGATGCCGCGCTTCCGCGAGATCGTGGAGCTCTACTGCGCGGAGGTGAGCTGGGACAAGCTGGCCCCCCCCCCGACGCGTACGCAGCGTATGTCACGTCCCTCCAGGCGGCGGCCAAGCTCCTGCAGACCGAGTTGCTGGCGACGAACGGCGGCGCGAAGGGCCCCAACGCCATGATCTGGAGGCATCTGGCCCGTGCGTTCTGGCGCCAGGACGCTGCGCTGGCGAGGGTGGTGATGGCGCAGAACCCCTGGGCGTATGACGTGGTCGAACTGGGGCCGCAGGGCCAGCCGCATCAGGTGACGCTCAAGGACCCCGCCGAGTTCGAGCGCCGCTACACGTTGGCCCAGCGACGGGAGGCGGCTGCGTGCAGGCGCGAGGCTCAGGAGGAGGCGGAGGCGGAGTCGGCTGAGGAGCTGCGCAAGCGCTTGATCGCGCAAGTTCGTGCTCTCCAGCGGCGTGCACAACTTTGGGCCCCTCGGGGGGCCAGGCAGCACCTGGCCGCGGTGGACCTCCCCCAGGGCGCGGTGACCACGCAAGAGGGCATGGCTGAGGCGCTGGCGGCGCACTGGAAGCCTGTCTTCGACCCGCCCAAGGACGCAGCCTCCGAGAGGAGGAAAGCGAGGATGCAGAAGCTGTACCTCGAGCGCTTCGCCACGCCGGCCCCCGAGTGGGACGCGCTCCCTCCGCCTGGCCCTGAGGCTCTGCGCCAGGCGGTGGCCCGCGCTAGGCCTGCGGCGCCTGGCCCTGACGGCCCCCCCGCTGCGGCGTGGGGAGCGACGAAGCAGGGAACAGAGATTCTCTATCGTGCGTCAGTCTGGCTCCGCTCGGGATACCCGATGAGATCCGATTTCAACTGCGCCATTGGAGTGTTCATCCCGAAATCGCAGGCCCCGTCTGATGGTTCCCCCCACTCGTGTCCTCCGAGTGCGACCCGTCCTCTCTCTGAAATCAACGGGGCCAAAAGCGATTTCGAGTGCCTTCAATTTTAGTTTTGCCCGTGGTATCAAGCAGTCTGTTTCGGCCTCTCAGAGAGGCTTTGTCCGCGGGAGAAACTTTTTGCCAAACCTGGTTGAGCTCGATGCCTGGGCCCGCATCGCGAGCATGCGAGCGACCGACCCCGAGGGGTGCCCCCCCGAGTCTTCGTCGCCCATGCTTCTTGCCTTCGATTATGGCCAGGCTTTTCCTTCCCTGGATCATTCCTGGATGTGGAGGACTCTCGAGGCCTGGAGGGCTCCTGTGGGTTTTCTCGAGGCGCTGCACGGAACTTATGTGAATGCTACGATTTTCGGTGCTTGCTCTGCTCGGGTCCCGCTGTATAATGTGCGCGGGGAGTGATGCAAGGCGACCCTCCCTCTGGCAGCATGTTTGCTCTAGGAGTCGACCCCTTTGTGCGTGATCTAGACTCGGCCCTCTCGGGTGTCTCGGGCAAGATCGCAAATCTGCATCTTCGCCCCAGCAAATGCTTTTGCGTTCCTCTCTGGGCACCGTTCTCGCCAGCCATCAAGAATCAAGCCCAGCTGCTCCTGCAGGAAACCTCTAACGAGTGGCAGCAATTTAAGGTTGTGTCGGAATTAGACTACCTGGGATGCGTTCTCGGCCCATCCGCCACGACGCACACGCAGTGGGCGCCAGTTGTGCAGAAGCACAGAGACCGCGCACGAGCGATTGCGAGCGCGGGTGCTGATGCGGCGGCGTGTGGCGTCATGCACAGAGAGAGAGAGAGAGAGAGAGAGCTGTGAGCGTCCTTCAGTACAAGTCACAACTCTTCGAACTTCCGAAAGATGAGGTGGCGGATGAGCGACACCACCTCACTCGGCTCTTCCGTGCGCCTGGCTCGTGGCTCCCTCTTCGCTGCTTCTTCGACCTCCACTCCTTCGGCGGCCCCCCGCTCCCCCCGCTCCGCGCCGTCGCCCTCGCCGCCCGCATGCGAACCGCCCCCGAGACGACAGCGGTCTGGAGATCGCTTTGTCCGAAGCTTCAAGCTGAGGCGGAGGAACACCTCCCGCTGGTGCAATGGGCGGGGCGAGGGCACGGGCACACTCCGTGGCCGAGCTTCTGGATTGAGCCCCCGCTGGCCTGGAACCTCCGCAGCGCGGCGGAGGCTGCGGACGAGCTCGGCCCCCTCGCCGCCCCTGCCCGCGCGGGCCTCGCCCTCTTGCGAGATCGCCTGTCGGCGCAGCAGGAGGCCCTGGCGGCTGGCAGGCCCACACCGTCCGTCAAGACTCAGAGGTGCCTCCAGGAGGGCATCGCCCCCATCCTTTACCCCTTCTGCCTCTTCACTCATCCCTCTCATTGCCCAGCGTCTCCAGCGATGGTTCCAGGTCGGGGAGGACGTCTGTCGTGGGGTGGACTGGGACGGGCTGGTGGGTCTTCTGCGTCGTTCC